GAATTTTTTTAATATTAGGCATAGGTGCAAAATTTAACACAGAATATTTTTATGGCCCCTCAGGTAAAAGCTAATAAATATATTTTTATTCAAAAAAATAGTATTCACTCTTAGTCTTAATGGGTTGGCCTTGGTCGGGGTGAGCTGGGTTAAAATATACTAAAAAATAGATATGGTTTTTAGAGATTTACCTATCTCCAGGCTTGGAAAAAAATTTTGAAAATTACTATCGGTTGGCCAGGTTTGAGAAAATTTTATATAAAATTATTATGGGTTGGGCTGGGCTTGGAAAATATTTTTATAAATTATATTGGGCTGGGCTTGGAAAAAATTTTTCAAAATTATTATGAGCTTGGACTTGAGAATTTTTTTATTATTAATTATAGGTCAGACATTGGCCCAAAACAAATTTTTTTGCAGGCCTGGGCTTGACCTGATCAAAAAAAACCAAGGCCCATGAAAATCTGAATTTTGATTGTATTTTTAAATTCATTATGATTATTTAAATATTTTATTTCAGCTCTCAACTACCAAAATTATTATGATCTTTCATTGGGCTTGGAAGAATTTTTCATAATTATTATGGCTTTGGACTTTGCCTGGGAATTTTTTTTAATATTAAATATTAGGTATAAGACCTGTGCGCCGCCGGTATTTTTATTCACGCCGGAAAAGCCGCCGATTGAGATCATCGGCGTAAGCCTGCTCGCCGCCGATTTTTATTATGGCGGCGGCGCCTCGTGTATAATTTTTAGAAAGCATTAATTATATTTATATATTACATTATTATTTTAATTTGAATACTAACATTAATAAAACTAAAATATGAAATATATTCTATTGTTATATAAAATAGACTAGTGTATATCATTTACATTCATCATATTTTATTTCCACAAACAATTCATATTAATTATTTTTATGGACTTTGCACGTTTTAAACCACCCTATATATAATTATGAAATAACTCTCTCTACTAATCATAAATCAAGTTATGTCTGGAGGTACTTTGGAAATCTTATTTTGAAGAATGAAAATAAGAAAAGTACAATAATGCCTGATTATATTTATTGTGAACCTTGCTTAAAATTGGCGAAAAAAGATGAGGAAAATTCGAAAAAACATAATTCATTTTCACAGTAATTTATTTTTATTTTTGTTAAACATGGATTATTATTTTATTATAATGGTTATTATATAGCGCAAATTTTTATATGTTACATTCATTTAATTAACACCATTTATATTAACTTAACTTAATAGTTTCATTTAATTGTTTAATAGATTTTTTGTATATATAAAGGATAAATTATATATTTTTAGTAAATATTTTTAAAATATATTTATTTAATAAAAGTTTTAAATATTTTTGTAATATCTTGCCTTACTCCCTGCCAACCTTAACAATTTTAGACTTATATTTATATATATTTTAGTTATGAAATAAAATGTTTTAGTAAAAATATAAATACAAGTAATCTATCTTGGCACTTAATTAATTATCATAAACTATCAGAAAAAATGAATAATAATATATCCATTCAAAGTCTAAAAAGTTTTTAAAGCCAACACCAAGATGCAGCAACAATAAAAAAATGGCTCTTAGGTTAGTATTATTGTTTATTATTCATTTAAAATTTTTAACTGGTTTGTTAAATTAATTTTATTAAGCTTTATTTTGAAAGTTCAAAACAACTAAATTTTTAGTTTATTTATTGCCAGCTCTATTTTGAGATCTTTTTAATATATAAACTTAATATATAATTTATTAAATTAAGTATGTAAAACTATCAAATTCATAATTTATTTCATTCCAACTCTAATTATTATGTTTATAAATGTCTTTTTAATGTATAAACTTAATATATAATTTATTAAATTAATTATGTAAATTAAAGTATTACTTAATATATAATTTATTAAATTAATTATTTAAAACTTTATTTTAGAAAGTAAATCAAATTTATAATTTGTTTCATTCCAGCTCTAATTATTTTGTTTTTAAATATCTTTTTTAAGTATAAACTTAATATATAATTTTTTAATCAATTATGTAAAGCTTTATTTTTAAAGTTAAAACTAAATCTAATTTATTTCATTCCAGCTCTAATTATTTTGGTGTTTTTTAAATATTTTTTAATGTTTAAGATAAATATGAAATCTAATAGGCGAAATTATGTTTTGATGTGCTGCTTAGATTTAATGACATTTGATTCTATAAACAATAAAGGAATGACAGTTTTCTAAAGGTTTAAAATTTATATAAAATGTTATTAAAAAATAAATTGCCTATAGAAATATAAGATAATTGATTCCTCATAGGACAACCATTAGTCGGGGTGCACTAGACGATGTTTATTTATCTACAAAGGCCCATGTTTTAAATCTGATTAATTCTGGACCAAAATTTTGTTCTATCATTTTTGATTTATAGACCGATCATTTCACGGTTGAAATTATATCACATTTAATCTTCATCATTTAAGATGAAAATTTTGATTTAAAATATTTTACCCTAGCAACTAGGAAGTGTCTCTGCCTATAGAAATATAAGATAATTGATTCCTCATAGGACAACCATTAGTCGGGGTGCATTAGACGATGTTTATTTATCTACAAAGGCCGATGTTTTAAATCTGATTGATTCTGGACCAAAATTTTGTTCTATCACTTGATTTATGGACCGATCATTTCACGGTTGAAATTATATCACATTTAGTCTTCATCATTTAGATAAAAATTTTGATTTAAAATATTTTACCCTAGCAACTAGAAAGTGACTCAAAAGCATACTTGGGAAACAATATTATCTGAGATTGATAGTATTCAAGAAGAGTTTGATAGCCAAAATAATACAAAAGGTAACTGATGCTGGGGCCAATGTCAAAAGAAGCGTCAGATTAGGGGATTATGAGCATCATTTATGCTTAGGGCATGGACTTCATAATTTGGTTACAGTTGATGGCATAAAAAAAAGTTACCAAAATTGATATTCTCATTAAAAAAATTAGAGAAATTATTTTGATATCGAGTAGATTTGGAATATGAAATTGAGGCTGAACATGGTAAATGTTTGCAGTCAATTTATGAGACAGATAATATCTTGGATATTGATGATTCTGCCATACCTTGATGACCATTTTGATATGTCTGATGAATCGGATAATAGAAATGGCATTGCACCACCAATCTAATTAATGCAAAAACTTTAAAAATAAATTGCCCTATCCACTGGCATAGCATATTAATTATGCTAGAAAGTGTTCGCAGTGTAAACAAAATTCCTATAAATAATGTCTAAATAAAATAGGAAAACAATCTTTAAAACTCTTTAATAATGAATGGGATATGACTGATGAGCTTTACGCAGTATTAAATCCATTCAGAGAGTCGGTAGAATTTCTTTCCTCCCAAAAAGGATCGACAATAAACTTAGGGTTATTATTTCGCAGTGAAATAAAAGGTCATATACAAATCAATAGATCTGATTGCTCAGATATTATATGCTTAAAAGAAAATATGAATAAAAAAAGCTTGACCATAGGTTTCCCATTACTGAACTTCAAGTTATTTTTTAATTTTATTAATAAAATTATATTTTAAATATTAGCAACTCTACTTGATCCCAGATTTCAAAATCTTAAAGTTGTTTCAGAATATTTAAACTTGAATTTTACGACATCATTGCAATTTTTAATTCGACATTTAAAACTTTTAGAGCATGATAGAAATGCACAGAGTGAAATTCAAGTTGAGGATAATGGTCAAACATCAAGCTCTTATATATATCTAAATTAGCTCGTAAACATTCCCTTCCAAGTAATGATTATAACAATATTAGTAATCTAGAACAAGAATGCCATATTTTGCTCAACCAAAATAATATCCCAGAAGAGGATGCATTAATCTTTTGGAAGAAAAAGCGACTGGAACTTCCTATGCTTGCTAATTTAGCAAGGAAGGTTCTTTGTATACCTGCACAGCTAAAGAATTTTTTCCATTGCTTGATTAATACTCAATGCTAAAAGGACCTCTTTATGTCCCACAAATCTTGATAAAATACTGTTTATTCATGATAATTATAATTTTGCTAAATCTGAATTCTGACTTATTATATTTCATACTTTTGCTTGCATCCCAAATTTATTTTAATTATGATAATAATCAATAGAATATTTCTTATATGTGTTGTTGATGTGACTCTGATCTGAGTAAAATTGCAATTTCTTAGTCTATTTCTGAGAATGAGAAAATACATAAATTTAAATTGGAGTGGGACAGGAAATAATTTAAGATCAATTAAACTATGTTAACAATTTGTTAGAAAAGATCACTCAAATAAATTATAAAAAATGTAATGCATTAATTTATAAATTAAATCCATTAAAAAAATTTTAAAATAAATATTGCGCTGCCGCCGCCTACAATTTAGAAGACGGCGGCGAAATCGGCGCGCCGCCGAACGCCGATAAAAAATTTAAAATAACCGTCGCCGTTGATTGAGACATCGTCGCACAGGTCTAGGTATAAGTAATCAGTAATATTTAACAAATAATATTGGTATTATCAAGTAAATGCTTTAATATTTTTACTCAAACCATAGTATTTACACTTAATTTTAATGGATTGAACCTGGTCTGAAGGAGGAAGGGGGTAAAAAGAATAAATTGGATATTATTTTCAAATAACAGGTAACATCTAGCATAAAAGTAAGAAGAAAATTTTCATTCCCCATCATTTTTGACGGGCTATCTAGTATTAATAAAATACTCCTTCTAATCCTTGAAACACTACCGCCATCGTTCGCTGAAATATTGGTGCTAAAACGCTCAACCCAAACGGCCCAAAAAGCGAACAACTCCTTTGCGTAGTTATGGTCAACAACCTTTGATCTCCTTCACCCGCAATTGCAAATATGCATTTGAAAAATCCACTTAAATACTGTCTCCTTAGCCAATATTTCCTCTATCCTGGGTAACAGATACTACACCTCAACAACCCATGGATTCAACGTTACCCGAAAATCTTTTATTTATAAACAACAGCGGCTAAATATGACAAAAAAACATATAATACATTTGAGTAATTTAAAATTGAATAAAAAAAATTAATGAAATAGCAAATGATGTTTCACAAAAAAATTTAGGCCTAATGTATTTGAAAAACTATGATCTGCTGTATTCCTCCCTATCGGCCTTGTACCTAGAAGAAATATAAATCATAAAAGGACATATATTACTATTAAATTTATGAAAGTATTTTTAATTATATTTTCTTTAGAACTTTTTTCTTATATAATTTATTTTATCATTTAATCTTCTTTTTATTATATCATTGTTTATTCCTTAGAATAAAATTTTATATATCATTAATAAAATAAGGTTTTCATACTATGTCATCAATTTTCAAAATGCTGACAACAGTCTCAGTAGCTAATCTAATAGCACTTGTGGAAACTAACAATGGCTGCAACACATTCTCCTCCAGCATGTTTGTTATAGTTCCCTAATGAATATAGAATATGTTTTAGTTCGAAATGAATATAAATAATTTGATATTAATTATTATATTCAATATCAGGAGAGAGTAAAAGATAATAATTATAATAATAGGGAGGTAGCGGACACTGAGGCGGAGTTATAAGCGGACACTGGGGCGGGGTTATAAGCGGAAACAAATACTTTTAATTTAAAAAAAAATCGTTATAGGTAAATATCTCAGATATGGTCAGGGTCTACTTTTTACCATTCATTTACATTTATTAGCTGACTAATTCACATTTAACTAACATTGGCCAAAAACATATTTTTTTGGGAAAAACTCTGATTTAAGCATAAATTATAAAAATGTAAAATCAAAATTATAGCCAAACACGAGATTTTCCCGAACTTTTCGGCTCCGTTTTATCAAGTTAGGTAATATTTGTCTGTTCAAAATCATGTCTAAACCATTTTTTTCTAAAAAATAAATCAGCTTAATTTTATCATAATATATATGATATATTCCACGTCAAATCGATCACGATTCGGCCGACCCCTTTTAAAATTGTTGAAATTTTCTGGAATTATTTAGATAGGTAAAAAAAATGAAAAAGTTATTTATTGCTCGCTAGCACGCCTGATTCCCGAGATATAGGGGCTCAAAGGTGCAAAAAAGATCCACTTTGGAATCTGTAAAATTTTTAAAATGCTTATGTCTCAAAAACTATTTATAGTAAAAAATATATAATCAAAATAACAGCAAAAATTGGCGCCAATTGAGCCGTTAACTACCGGTAAAAAAGGGAGTTTGTTTTCGAAATTTATTTATTGCTTTTTATTTAGACACCTTTGCTAAATATATTTATGTTGTCAATACCTTAGCGAAGCTATCGACTCCAAGAATCGAAGAAAAAAATAGATAACGCTTTATGAAATTACGAATTATGGTTAAAATTTTGTTGCTAACTTATCAATAACCCGATATTTTCACTTTTTATATTAAAAAATTTTGAATTTCTATTAAATATATACCCATTAGCCACTTAATAATCTAACATATTTTCAATAATATATATCTTTCATATAATTTTTTTAATATATAGAAATATAGATAAAATCATATTCATTCCATAATTTAAAATATATTTGAAACAAAATTTAGTTAGTCCAATTTTAATATTTGAATATCTTTAAATTTATGGCTCTCGTAAATTAATTAAAATTAATCTTTTTTGGACTTGAATCTTTTCACTATTCTTTATTATAGAAACAAAATTACCCAGGCATCGATCTACTATATTCATCATTGCTATAAAAAGTTTTGACAACATCAAAGGTGACGGCATCTACTATCTTGCTGGGTTTAGGATTCGGTAAAAAAAACCTTTTTCTTTTATTAAACCTTTTGATTTTAACGCCATATATAAAATATTAAATTCTTTTACAATTTTTCTTATTGACCAATTAGAAGGTAAAAATATTAATCTATATTTATTTGTAATCGACAGTTGTGAGAAATTGATTTTAAGGTATCTATAATTTCATCGAAGTTTTCATCATTTGATGAAGATATTGGTATAATTTTAGTCGTTAAAATTTTTTTTACTCTAGATATTTTTTTCTTCAAATATTTTTTTCACATAAGCGTTTTCTTTTAATGGGAGATTCCCCTATTGATTGTAGGGATGTATTAATGTTTCAGCCTCTCGATTAATTATATGAGGGGTAGAATCAATATCTACATTGTCATGAAGTATAAGGAATGTTTGTTAATTTTTGTCGGCAAAGAGCATATTAACACATCTAAATTGAATGGTAAATTTTTTGGGTCATCCAGGGTGGAATATTTCTTAAATTCTTACGATAATAAGCATGTCTTTGTAGATTAAATGGGTTGCAACATTTTAATATTTGGTATGTCGATCTATGATATAGAATAAAATTTTAATTGATCTGCACCTAGAATATATGTTTTTGCACTCTCCAATCCCGAATGTTATTAATAAACAGACGATAAAATAATAAGCTGCAGACGGGTTGAATTATTTAAAATTAATCTGAACGGTCAAATTAAAAATATTACGCCGAAAGAGAGATCGTTTTAAACAGTTTATTTTGTAAAATAATATGCTAGTAAAATATAATCGTTAATTTGCCTAATAAAATATTCGTTTTTAATGCAGGTGTTATACATATACATTATCGGGCTAATTAAGTCATTTGCTATAGTAGCGAAGTAGAGATCTAAAATATGTAAAACTTTTTAAGAATGGTGGGGGGGGGAACTGGAAAATATTATCATTTTCTTATAAAAATATCAACATTTTCATTTTCCTTAAGAATAATATTTTTCAACCATTAGCGCCATCTATTTTTTTCTTCAATTTTTGGTAATGAGGCCAATTTTTATTATTTTTTGATAGCCCTTTAAAGATTTTTTTACATACAATTTGATATATTATATACTTTTTTACTATAAATAGTTTTTGAGATAGGCATTTTAAAAATTTTACAAATTCCAAAGTGGATCTTTTTTGCACCTTTGAGCCCTTATTCTCGGGAACCAGGTACTAGCGAGCTAAAGTAAACCGCTTTCTCATTTATTTACCTATCTAAATAATTCCGAAATTTTTAACATTTTAAAAGGGGTAGGCCGAAAATGTGCCTTTTTTGATCGATTTGACATAATAGCCCATATATTAATTCTTTGATCTATGGAGTAAATGTCGTCTGAAGTTTATAAACTTCTAGGTGAGCTATATTCATTTCTGTAAACCTTCTTGGGGTAAAGTATCAGAAAGGGGGATAAAATCCGAAACTAATCAAATGTATTTTTATTCATTGATAAAAATCTAAAATGAGTAATTACAAAAGAAAAACAAAACAAAGAAAAACAAAACGATAAAATAATATTATAGAAACCATAATGTTTATTATTGCGTAATCGGCTAATTTTATTCGACTCCAAAACAGCTTAAATGTGTTTTTAGGTGAAGAAACCTAATAAAACTAATTAGCCAAAAATTAGGCATGGGACTAATCGTCCCTCAACAATATATAACAAATATAAAATAAGTGATAATTAAGGTTAGGCTTAACTTATGTCGGCTGGTTAGCCAATGTCTAATCTTTGACTAATTATTTTCGGCGATTTTTCGGCCAAGCCTAATTAAGTTTAGGAGAATTTTAGCCAATTATGCAACACTAAACGATGTCGCTAAATAAAATATTGAATGTTTCATAATTATATCATATCCCTTAACTTATAAGTTGTTAGGAATTAAAAGTTATAAAACCTCATAACATACCAAACCCGAAAGTTAGTTTAACCCACTTAAACAGCAGAAGCAGAAAAAAATAGCAAAGGCAACTGATTCTTTAGATTGCAATATAGTGTGTGGTTCATATATTTATAAAAATAATCATGTTTAGTTAGTTCTTAATTGTTAAAATATAGTTAATATTCGAGTTAAAAACCTTTCTAACGTTAAGGCCTGCATTGACGTCTTCAGCATGTCTGGCTTTGAGATCAGTAAGCGCATGAACTGGATCAAGCCCAGCGTTTTCTGCAAGCGTGATGGGTATAACTTCCAGCGCACGAGCAAAGGCCTCAAAACAGACACGTTCCACTGGAGTCGTTGTTTCATCATTCTTGCTTATCTCTGGAAGACGGAGACGGATTTCAATTTCGGGGGCGCCACCTCCAGCTATCAGAGCTCTGACATAAAGAAAAATAATTCGGTTAAAATTATATAGAAAAGTTTGATATTTGTCATTATTTTTAAAAAAATGATAGGAATATTTTTTTAAATAAAACTGATTTAACTCAATTTGCAATTATAATAGAAAAAGAATATAGAATCTAATATAACAAGATTTAGATGTTTTTCTTTCTCTAAAATGTGGCAAGCCATTAAAAAATTTGTTCACATTATTAAAATTAGTTTTCTACTGAAGAAATGTATTGTCTCATAGGCATGTTTTATTAGATCCTTTTTTAATGTTACATTTTTAATTTATAGTGATATTACAATTCTCTTTTCAACAATATACAAGAATTTCTTAATAGGCTAATATAATTTTATATATAAAGTAAAATAAAATAAAATAAAACATATCTTAGGATATAAAAGTCAATATCATATTATCACTAAAAAATTGTTTAAACGATCAAAAGTAAAGTAAAATAAGCATTAGGGTGTAATACAAATAAATCAACTATATTAACATTTCACCTTAAAAGGAAATTCCCCTAACTTTCCCCTTGGTGGTGTAAAGAATAAGGAAAAGTTTTATAATCGAGCCTCCATAGTTGGGTAGATGCCGATACATGAAGTCCCTTGTTGTTGCTGAATCGTTTTCATAGTTTTGTTTAAGTTTGGCTGTGATCATTGTTTAGTTTTAATATTACATAAATGTCCCTGGTTCTTTCCAAATTATAATTGTCTATATCTCTATGGCCACTTGATACTGTAATTTTGGCAACAGACTGTCAAAAATTGGTAGAAATTTTTGTTTCTTTACAAGATCGAGGAGAATTAGGAGGGTTTCCTCTGAGGGTGGGATATTAATATAGATGATTTATTTGTATTACACTTTAAGAATTATTTCTATTGTTATTTTACTTTAATCAATCATTTAAACAATTTTGTTAAACTAAACGTGGTAATATAATAATGACATTTATATCCTTGTGTTTTCGTTAATCAGACAAATCTAGCCTACTAAATGATTCATAATCCTGAAGGTATATTCCCTTCGTCAAATTAATGAACTTTCAAGATCCTTCTCTTGAACCTGTTTATTATAAATAAGTTCAATTAATTTTATTATTAGTCCAAATTCTCAGTCCATGTAATTTTTAACCTGATTGATAAACTCACAATTATTGTTTGCCCATAAATCAGCTATAATTTTTTTTTAATAGGCAGATATATATAATTATATATGTTTTATAAATGGTTAATGTATTTTAAAATTATCCTGACAAAAAATACATAAATCATAAAGTTAATCAAATTTTTTTTATCAGAATCGACAAATATAATGACCATTGTCAAAAAACTCAGATATAATTATAATTTTTTTTGGAACGCCCTGTTTATTCCAAATAATGATCAATATTATCTTATCTATGGTTGACACAAAACAATTAATCTACTATGATTAAATATACGGTCGAATTCAATTATGGAAGAATTATTTTTCAAACAGATATATTTTAAATTATTTTATCTTGGAGGAATATAACGAATTATAAAAGTAATGCTATCTACTTTATGTATAACATTTATAAAAAACATGTATTTGAATGTTAGAAATAATATTAAATATATTATAAAAAAATTATTAGAGAAATCTATATTTTTTTTGCGATTATTATATTTTATATTTTAGCTTCTACTGTTTTGGAGACATTTTATTTAAAAAAATTTAATATAAGGATTTTTTTGGGTAAAAGTTTTAACATAGGATATACGATGTCTTTTTCAAATATATAGTAATTTATATAAAATTTTAGGCTAGCATTTGCATATTAATCAGGGTCAGATTCTATGACTAAATATAAGGATTTATTAATAAATTTTATATAACATCTTATTTATGTGTTGGATATATTTTTTTAATATTAAAAAGGAATATTCACATATTTTTACTAGAAGCAGAGACCTGCAGAGGTACCACTGCACGGCTTTGATATTTTAAAAATATATTACATTTTTTTTAATATTTATAACTAACTCATAGTAAAATGTGAAATGATAAATTTTTAATAATTATTATGTTTAATTAAAATAAAATGGTTTAAATCAGAGACCAATAACACTTTATCTGCATTGATTTCACACCCTGCATTAAAGTAATCATTATAAAATTGAAAAACTATTATATTATTTATGCATCACATACTTTTGCTTGACCAAGCATCTAAGAACGCAAAGTGAATCATGGAGAGATCTTTCAGCTTCATCCAAGATTAGCTTGTTACTTCCTCTGACTAATATAGTGACAGTTTGACCTGGGTTAGATATACCAGTGATCTTATATGTTTTATAAATAAATTATAAAAATTTAAACTATTTTAATACCTTTATTAATTTGGAATTATCATCTGTATTAATTTGCTCAACCAAATCAGCAGAACCCAACATTTCAGGAGTAAAATGGTCTAAACTTGCAATGGGTTTACAACCTAAACTCTATATTTTTTAAAATAAAAAATTTAAGATCAATGTATTATTTTTAAATTATTTATAAAATATTAAAAAACCTTGCAAACAAATTCTACATCGTCTCGTTCTATATCTTTTAAAACCAATATTTTCATCTTGGCAAAATAATGTAATGCTAGTTCACTAATAGCATCTCTGTAATTTGTTTTGCATACATAATAAATAAATGAATATTAAATATTTTAGCAGATTATATGAATTACAATGTATAACCAAATTTGGAACCTTAAATCACTGAATATGAACCTGACAAATAAATGTGGTTTTTGCTTAATAATTTATTAATAAATGATGTCATTTATTTCTCAAGTATTTTATTCGAAATTAACAGGTTTTGTAAATATATATTTTTTAAGTATAATAAGAAAATTGCCAGTATTTTATTAATTTTACCAGTATAAATTAATAATTAAGTATTGTGGGGTTCTTTATAAGATTTTCATTTAATATATATTTTTCCAGTATTTTGGTTATTTTTCTCCATTAATTACAGTAATAGGTAAATATTTAAAATTAATTTACCAGTATTACAAATTTATAAAATCAAGGTAGATATTTACTGTTTCTATAAAAAAATCATATCAGGCTAATATTTTCAAAGATTTTATATTATCATTGATTTGGTTATTTTATAATTATAATATTATTTATTTTATACATAATTTCCTAATAAAAGAAACAGAAATCTAATTTATATACAATTTTTTAAAAAAGAATTAAATTTAAGAAAGTGAAGCTAAATTTATAATTAAAACATATAAATGCATTTTATAAGGTTAAATAAAGCAAAAATACTAAGTGCTTTGTTTAAATATGGAGATATATTAATGCCAAATTTTAATAAAAAAAGTAACATCATTTCATATTATATTAAAATTTAAGAGATATCTTCAATATAAGCCCACTTTGGGGCTATCAATTTAAACATTTGGCGAGTTAAATATATTTTTAAAACAATGGGTGGGTGGCCAATTTTGAAATTTATGGGAGGGTGAGTAGGATGGGCTTATACCTATTTTTTCAAAATTATTTTATATTGAATACTTTATAAGTTTAAATAATAATAATATTAAAACTATGTAAATAGAGCCAAACCAACCAATTAAAATTTTTTTAAAACATTAGGGCTAAATAAATTTTTTTAAAGAAATAAAGGTGGGAGGGGTTAAATTTTTGAAAACAATGGACAATTGGTCTAAACCTTGTCCGTTCCTTTTAAAAAATTTATTTTCAAGCATATGTGATTTTTGCCATAAAACGACAAACATGAACAAATTAAAAAAAATGCTTAACACCAGGTATAAAAGAAATAAATTATCTAAAAAATAACCTTAAAATTGATTTTTGAAGAAGTAACACACTACAACCAGCCTTTTTAATCTGTTTTGCAATGTTGAGTATATAGGTCCTTTCTTCTTTCAAAACTCTGTCCATTTGTGCATAATCAGATACAATCACATTGCTTTCCATCTAAATATTTATTTTTGTTTCAAATAAAAAATTATATATAACCTTGCAATAGATTATTTGCATTATATAATGAGATTTTAATAATTAGAGTAATGCACCAAATATTTGTTTAATTTTTTAATGTCAATAAGATCCCACTCACCTGTTTATCAGAGGCATTAGCATTTTTTACTGATAATAAAAATTGTGAGTCATTAAATATCTTTGGAAAAAACATATTTACAAAAGAATTATATATTTTTATATTCGTTCAAAATTAATAAATCAAATAAATAACATAAATAAAATATTAGCCAGTAGTTCAAAAATATTAATATTACATATAGTATTCTTACTTCCACCCTGATTGAATAAAACAAATTTTAAAAAAATAATAAGGAATAGGCAAGAAAATATCCAAAAAATTATTTGTTATATGCGTCTATTCAATAAGTAGTGAGAAAAAATTTTCAACTGTGGACTATATTTTAGGTAAAATAAAGTGTTGAAATTTTTATTATTTATTATATTTAGACTATAATTGGTTTAAATAAGTTACCTTTAATTTACTAAATATTTCAAAATTTATTATAATAAGCAGAATAAAATAGCTAAATCATGACTCAATTATTTAAGAACTTCAGATGTGCCTTATACCTAATATAAACCTTTTAAAAGTTTTAAATCATTATTTGTGCTAAATCTATTGACAAAAATTTGAGAAATTTTGTATTAAAATTAATTTTTTTATGATCATGTTTTTTGACATCCTTAAAATATAAGGGTCATTCCATGTCAAATCAATCACTTTTCGGCCGACCCCTTTCGATTTCGATAAAAATTCGTAGGCTGGTTATATATGTTCCCATTAGATTATAAACAAAATTTTAGCGCATTAGAAACTATATTAGCAGAGATATTCGGGGTTAAAGGTCCAAAAAACGTCTTTTTTTGCTTTTTACTGATGTTAAATAATTAGTTTTTAATTTAAAACTAAATATGATCAAATATTGAATCTAATATCAATAGCCAAGTTAATAATTGATGATTATGGCGAAAACATCAAAATTAATTTTTGATAAAATATGGGTCATCTTATGGTCAATTGAAAACTTGAAATTAATATTTCGAAATGTATATGATCTCCGATTTTTAATTTTTTTAAGAATTATTATCCGTTTACTATTTTTTTAATAATTTATTCGACAATTAGTATGGCTGGGTATTTATTTAAAAAAATATTGCGATTTTTATACTTTAAAAAAAATAGATGGCGCTATATATAATAGTTTTAATATGTTAAAATTTATTTTTTTTATTGATTAAAAATTATTTAATGTATATATATCATACTAAATCGATTACAATGTGCATTATATATATTATTTGTAATTCAGATCATAAATTTTTAAAATCTTCACAAATTTTGCCTAATTAAGATAGTTTATAAATTAATTAAATCTTACGTCATCTAAAGGAATACAAAGCCTGGCTAGCTTGTGAGATTCTTCAGGAGATAATATATATTTTCGACTGGTGGGAGTAGAAGGATTGACCAGCGAGAGAATATGAGATTTAGGCAACACTAAAATATAATTTAAATGAGGCTGAAGGTCCACAAGGGTGTAAAAATCGGATTTTTACTTCTTCATTTGTATAACTTTTATCGATTATATATCCTAACCACCATTTATCATCATATACACATGTTATATATCCATTAATATTTTAAAATATAATTTTCTCATTTAAAAACGGAACTTGTTTTATATTATATTTATTGGAATTAGAATATATTTTGGTTTTTAGTTTATTTTGATCAATGGGAATAATCCCGTGAATTTTTTGGGTCCCATGTATGGGCAGTGCAGAATTAAATCTTTTACGAAGGGCTAATTCCTCTTCGATATATTCTTGATTGGATACATATTCAAATTGAATATTAATATTTTCTTTAGCATAATTATATAATTCTAATGAGGTTAGGATTTGATTTTTATTTGGCCTTTGAAGACTAGCTCTGGCAACTAATCTTTTGACAGTTCCTCCGATACCGTCACATGCATTTTTGCCGTGAGCAGTGACAAAGAAATGCCATTCGGCAGGAATATTAAAATCGTATTTATGAAGGCATATGTTCAGAAAATTTTTGCGATTCTTCTATTGAGACGCGGCTTCATCCGAAAAATATATTATTTTTTCTGGTTTAGAATTAAATTTGGCTGTTAAGAATTTAATGAATTTTTTTTGATAAAGGTGGACTGCACTAGTATTATGGCTTAATGATTCGGACAAAATAACAAAATTTATATTTTTTAATTCTTCTCCAGATTTATAATATGCTACAAATGGATGTATAGTGGTCTGCACATTGTTCCAATGAAATCCCTAAACTTCATCTTGTAAAATGAAGGAATAATTCTCAGAATAATCTAGAATTGTTAAAAATTCCTCATCTTTTAAATTTTCTTTGGAATTCTTCAAAAATAAACTTTGTGTTTAGCTATAAACGAGTGACGCAGTAAAATTTGAACATTTTATAATAGATATTCGATGAAACCATCAATGGACTTTATAATAGTTTAGAGATTTGCTCTATCCACGGTGATCCATTGTTTAAACGTGACATATTCTATACGATTTCTCTGAAACAATTCGTATAATTGGCCCATAAGAGATTCTATACCAGGGCATTGATCACAATTTGTTAAATAACATTTTGGCTGAGATGGATTACAAATAATTTGCGCCAAAAGATTGTCATAAGAATTTATACAGTAATATTCTCCTGCTGTAATTTCAGCTATTACATTTGTCATTAATTTAACATTCTGATGAATGGCACAGACACAAACAGTGTGTGTGCCATCCAAATAAAATTAATTTTTTGGTCTAAGTTCGGCAAATTTAGGGAATCCAATTGATATACTTGGATATTCTTCCTTAAACATCTTGAATATTTCTTTAAGATTATTTAATATAAATCTTTGCTGATTCTTTCTCGCCTTTAACAGATACACAATCTTTTATTCCAGGCATGAGTCGGCTTATTTCATCAGAACTATAATTTTGTTATTTTTATTGCTTAAAAAATTTTTCAAAATCTTTGAAATTTTCTTTTATCTCTGGTTATTTTAATAATGTAAGATAATGACAATTTCATAACATTCTTGGTCTTAATGGGTATGACTTAGTCTGGGGAGGGGGTGGATAGGGGGTTGGGGATAGGCCTGGTAATTAATGTGATTTTCGATTTTTCCCTTAATAATTTTCCTGCACCCCTTTAATCCTGCTTTTTTGTTTGTGTGCTAGTCCGATTTTTTAATTATTTTAATTTACATTGAAATATTAAAAAAATTTTTTATCCTGCGAATATCTCAGGGGAATAAGGTTTACAAAGTTATATAATCGAATTTTATGATATATTATACATTAAAATATTTTTAATCAATAAAAAAAATGAATTTTAACATATTAAACCTATTATATATAGCGCCATCTATTTTTTAAAAGTATAAAAATCGCAATATTTTTTTAAATAAATATCCAGCCATGCTAATTGTTAAAGAAATTATTAAAAAAATAGTAAACAGATAATATTTCTTAAAAAAAATAAAAATCGGAGATCATATACATTTCGAAATATTAATTTCAAGTTTTCAACTGACCATAAGATGACCCATTTTTTAAAAAAAAATTATTTTTGATGTTTTGGCCATAATTATCAATTATTAACTTAGCTATTGATATTAGATTCAATATTTGATCATAATTAGTTTTAAATTAAATATTAATTATTTAACATCAGTAAAAGAAATAAAAGGCGTTTTTTGGACCTTTAACCCTGATTATCTCCGCTAATATAGTTGCTAATGCGCTAAAATTTTGTATGGAAACATATATAACCAGTCTACAACTTTTTATCAAAATTGAAAGGGGTCGGCCAAAAATCTTGATTTTTTTGCTCATTTGAAATGGAATGACCCATAACTTCCATTTTCCAATACAAGGATTTTAAACCAAAATGTTGTTAAAAAGGACCCCCACATTAAAAAAAAATACACTTTATTGTATAAAATGCTGTAGCTTTTTAGTAAATCATTAACTACTATTGAGCAAGTGGGCTCAGGCTAAAAAATAAATCATGATATATGAAAAAGAATTAATAAGATGAATTATTAAATAACAACCTGAAAAAATTAATTTAATATAGGCTAATATCCAAAAAAATTAAAATTTTAGGCAATATCAAGTATAGGCATTCTGATATTAATATAAAGATTACATCTGTTTTAGGAGGTGATATGCAAAATTGTATCAATCCTATTTTAGCCTTTTCAATCTTGCTTGGAGCACCACTACCACCACTAAAGTTTTGAATAAAAACTACACCATCAACCAATTCTGTATCTTCTAATGTGCCACTATTTAAATTAAAGTAATAAATTGGAAAAACATTTAATATGAATAAAATAAGTTGTTTAACATTAAAATATATTTACCCTAATTTTGTTATGATTTTGATATCTTTTAAATCAACATTCGTTGCTATTTCAGGATCAGTTATCTTAAATATAGCATCTACTGCTATTGGTGCAAGTATGTTTGAATATTGTGACACCATCTTTTTTATTATTAAAAAAATTCAACTTTATATGAAATTATAATATTTAATTAGAAACTATTTTATATAAGTATTTAATTTATAAAGAAATAAAATCATGCATTTTGTAACCTTAGAATTTAGGGCAGTTGATGCACATTTTATAAGAGTTTGACGATCTGACATTTTAACTGGAATCGACATACTTTCTAATATTTTACAAGCTTGAATAGAAGCACGACCAAATGCTTCACTAACAAGAGTGGGATGAAGGTCAGCTTTGTCCAATAATTTATTTCCAGCAGCTTCTAAAAGGCTACCTGCTAGAATTACAACAGTAGTTGTACCATCCCCTGCCTCAATATCTTGAGCTTTAGCTAATTCAACCAACTTAAAACAAAAGAATAAATTATATTCACATATTTATAATACCATTTTTGCTGCAGGATGAATAACTTGCATTTGTTTTAAAATGGTAGCACCATCATTGGTTATGGTAACATCTCCATTTTTCGATTTTATCTATAATCGTTGAAAAAATAAAAGGTATATAAGAATTGATATGATTAAAGTATAAACCATTTTATCCATACCCCTTGGTCCTAAACTAGTCCTTATAGAATCTGCAATAGCTAAATATTTAATGCAATTAAAAAATAATAAAAAAATTAAAAACCTTTAGCAGCTATAATATTGCTCTCTCTAATATGAGATGGCTTTTGCTTTTCCTTGAAATTAGTCTTATCAAAGGTAGCATTTGCATAACTTGCGAATTGAACCATTTTTTTATATTAACGAGACGAGAAGCGTGATTTTTCTTTATGCAACAATGAAAAAAAAAGTTTAAATAATGTGTGAATTGAATTGTGAATGCACCACAATTATCAAATATCAAATATCCATAATTTAATGCCAACTATAAGTTTATACTTATTTATTTTGACAATAATATTAATATTAAATTATTTATAAATATGAATTTTTATGCAAACTTTACAGAAGATTCACTTTATATTATTTACTTACAAACCGTATCTAGGCATCGATATATCGTATCGGCTTGATTCAATATTAAATTTTCGCCTTGGTCCAAAAATCTCAAAATATTTTACCCATCCTCTCAGATAACCTTACATTTTTTAAGGATATTTATCCAACTGCCCTTATATTCAATTATAGTAATGTATTTTGACCTTCACTTACTAATTTTTGGTAATTATTTTGTAGAAATTATTATATATATAGGTTATTAGTGTTGTTAAAAAGCTCAATTTGGGCGATTTTGAAACGGCTAGATTAAGATTATAAACAAAACATTTTGTAAGCTTATAGATTTTGCTCCTAGCTGGCAGAAATGTGGACATCTATTTACCAAATCTCGATATTTTCATAAATTGTTTTAGCTAAAATCTTAATCATGCAGTTTTAAATCAGGCTTTTTAACAACACTATAGCCTACATTCATACAATTTTACCTGATTTTTCTTTATTATATGTTTTTGTTATTTTTCCCAAATTAACCCTCAATTAAATAGCTATATAAGTTTATACACATATTTTAAAATGTTGAAATCGAATAGAATAAATTACTTATTGCCTTACTTTAAATTTTTACGGACATGGTCACTGGTTTATTGCTCAAAAATTTGACGGAGAGGGGGAGGGTGACTAACATTTCTTAATATATTATCAAAAGATAGGATATATAAAATCTGAAAATTTTATTAAAATATTTATTTATATTATATTTTGAAAATAATGTGCCAAATTAAATATCACCGATATCCAAATAAATTTTAAAAAATATAAATATGAGTTAAAAATTTTCCTTAATCTTTCGAATATTTATTCTTAAACTCCCTCGATTATATACCATTATCATAATCATAAGATGAGTACATTTCATACTCATCACACAATTATGGAATTTTGTGTGCAATTTTTATATCATAACATGTGTTCTATTAATTTTTATATATAATTACAGATAGTTCGATAAGAACGACATTGAATTTAAATGTTGTCTTTAATTTTATGGTATATGAAACAAAGATTTCCTCTTTATCTGATGCTGGATAAATCAGAAATCAGCAAATCCTATGAAGTGTGAATTAGACTTTTGTTGTGAGTCAAATATTTTCATTATTTTTATAAAATTTTAATGAAGAATATATTTAACACCTACAATATGAACAAATAATTTGAAAATGTGATGAATATACATTTTATTTTATCACTTTGATAATAATTGAAAAAATTGTAATTATGTGCTCAATAAAAAATATGAGTGATTAATAGATTTGTATTTGCAAATTTAACATTATAGTCAAAAATTATTTTTGAACAAGGAAGGCAGAGATTAAAAAATTTAATTTTTAATTTCTTTTATTTAATTTATTAACAAATATATATCTCTGACAAATTTCTACCTATATATATTTTTTTTATATATTATAATTATTTACATATACAAAATTTAAGAAAAGAAGAATTTTACATACAAACTTAAGAAAAGAAGAATTTATTTTAAAAGGTTTTTACATATAACAAAGTAAAAAAGGAATAATTAACAAAGTAAGAAAATAAAATTTTGTTTTTAAGGTTAAACAATTTACAAAATTTAAAATTAAATAATCTTTGAAACATTTTAAATTTCAATTACTTTTATTTGATATTTATATCAAATATTTATTTATTTACTCTCCCCCCACTCCTCTTCTCAGACCAAGTCCAATCCATTAAGAAAAGTGGATACTATTATTTTAGACAAAAAATATTTTGATTACTTTAATTTGATACCCATATCGATATTATGTATTGGTAAAAATATTCCAGATACCCCAAGATTCTACCCCCCCCCCCCCCCAATTTAGATTAATTATTATCATTAGGGTCAAAAGATATATAATTACTTTATTTGATACTCATATCGATATTTTGGTTGATAAAAATATTTTTTAACCCTCCAAGACCTAGACCCACCCACTTAGAATAATAATCATCATTACAATCAAAAGATATTTTATTACATTTGGAATTTAAGATAGGGATTAACCCAGTACAACTATAATGCGCCTAGCGACATTTTATCACACGACACTTTATCATGCGACACTTTATCATGCGACACTTTATCATGCGACACTTAATCACGACGACACTTTATCACGACGACACTTTATCACGACGACACTTTATCATGACGACACTTTATCATGACGACACTTTATCACGACGACACTTTATCACTCAGTCATTTGATAACGCGACACTTTATCACGCGACATTTTATCATGATATACTTAAAACTTAATTTAATATAATTGAAAAGTTAAATTTTGATAATATCTCATTTTTTGACTTTCATCATGATATATTTAAAACTTAATTTTATATATTTGAAAAGTTAAATTTTGATAATATCTCATTTTTTGACTTTCATCATGATATACTTAAAACTTAATTTTATATATTTGAAAAGTTAAATTTTGATAATATCTTATTTTTTGACTTTTCCGTCTAAATTCCAATATTTAAAAAATTTAAATTAATTTTTTTTGTATTTTTTTTATTGAGAAAAACTCATATTTTAATTTACATAAATATAATTTTTTTAAACTTATTTATCATCTTATATAGGGAAACAGGAGACATAAGCAATAATTTTCTATTTATACTTTTTATTAATAAGTAACTATAAATCAATAAAACACCACACTTAAATTAATGTGTTTATCTATTGATATTTTTTAAGCTAATCGTTTTTTCACAAAGATTTATAATTTTTACAAATTAAGGTTTTGTATTTACCCATAAATATAATAATTTTTTTTTCTTCTATATATACCTCAATTTTCTATATTATTATATATTAAAGAATATTTTTTTATTAATTATAATGTTTGAATTAGGATTTACATCGAAAAATAAACCTACCCCAAAATTACGAATATATTAAATTTAGGACAAATAAAAATGAATCAATATGCTGGAGATGCGCCAAATATAAATCTCTAAAATGCCATTCTTTTATTACAACAAAATTGAATGATATCTTAAAAGGTCCCTTTGATCATACTCATGAGGGTAACATTTCAAAATCTTATGCCCGAAAAGCAATATCAGAAATGAAATCCAAATTAAGTGAATATTCTAGTCCTTCTTTGGTCCATGCAACAACATTGTTAAATTATGATAATAATACCTTGATGGTTATGCCAAATAAGTCTGCCCTTTATCGATCCTTACAAAGGCATAAAAAATCTACCATTATATTGCCTCCTATCCCTAAGGATCTCACTTTCTTATATCCGGAATGTTACAGGGATATGCTCAAACACGATTCTGGGCCAGATGATAATTTAAGATTTATAATGTTGAGCACGGACGAACTACTCGAAGGATTATCAAGATCGGATATATGGATATGTGATAGTACCTTTAAAATTGTACCTGAAATATTCTTCCAACTTTATACCATCCACTTTCAAATTGCACCAGGCGCGAATCCTGTTGGTATATATTGCTTATTACCAAATAAAACGGCGCATACATATGCAAGGATGATAAAAGTAATCATATTATATATTTTAAGAGATGTAATTTAATTTTTATTATAGAAGCTGAAACAATTACTACCAGGGGCGCATCCGAGGAAAATATTGGTGGATTTCGAACAGGCACCGATAAATGCGTTTAGAGCTGGGTATCCACTCGCAGATATCCTTGGATGTTATTTTCATCTAAAACAGAGCGTTAATAGAAAAATAAACGATTTGGGATTAAAAGAGATGTATGAGTCGAATGACGACTTTCGATTGTATAGTAGGTGTTTATCGGCTCTTGCATATGTCCCAGAGGATGATGTTGGAAACTCATTTGATACTTTGGCAGAAATATTTGGTGAATTGAATGGCTCATCTGAGCTAATTTCCTACTTTGAGAAGACCTATATCCGAGGACGTAGAAATCCCAGTAAAAAAAATATTTTTTTTATTATAAATTTATATATTTATAGGGCAACGAAATAACTTTGCAGCGCCTTTATATAATGTAAGACTATGGAATAAACACAATTCCACGTTAGAAGGTGTCGCCCGAAGAACAAATTGTGTTGAAGGGTGGCACTATGGAATTCAATCCCTATACCAATGTTCTCATCCAACACTATGGAAATTTTTAGATGGGATACAAAAAGATATGCAGAAACATAAAGCTCTATATCTTCAAGTCGTGATAGGAACAACACCGTACTTATCAAAGAAATATGAAGATATAAAAAGACGAATTCAGATTTGTGTTTCAAATTACGGATTGTCGGATTCTTTAATATTTTTAAAAGCTATTGCCCATATTTCGTGCAATTAAATATATTATAAATAATTTATATTTTTTACTCGTGATATATTGATTTATAGTTACTTATTAATAAAAAGTATAAATAGAAAATTATTGCTTGTCTCCTGTTTCCCTATATAAGATGATAATTAAGTTAAAAAAAATTATATTTATGTAAATTAAAATATGAGTTTTTCTCAATAAAAAAAATTAAATTAAAATTTTTTAAATATTGGAATTTAGACGGAAAAGTCAAAAAATGAGATATTATCAAAATTTAATTTTTTCAAATATATTAAATTAAGTTTTAAGTATATCATGATAAAGTGTGGCGTTAACAAAAAAAAATTAATTTAAATTTTTTAAATATTGAAATTTAGACGGAAAAGTCTAAAAATGAGATATTATCAAAATTTTATTTTTTCAAATATATTAAATTAAGTTTTAAGTATATCATGATAAAGTGTCGCGTTAACATAAAAAATTAATTTAAATTTT